CGTTTATATTGCAGTGGGGTAACGGCTGAGCTGTCACTGCCTAAGGCCATGGGTCCAGAGTCTCAACAAGGGGCCGGGCCCAGCAAATTCAAATATTGTTTTTAACAAACAAATAACCAAGGCCCTTTTCAAAGCCGAAGTCGAGTGATTAGGACATTTTTCACTATCTCCAGTCTATATATCGATAAAAACATTAAACTTTATATTAAAAAAAAACCAACAAAAACAAAACAAAAAGACGATCGACAACCACGTGAAACAAGAAATAAACCATGAGCAAAAGCATTGACACATGAGTATGCATGATACATATATGTTTTGTCTGATAGGGCCTATATTTATTGATTTTAATTGGCTCGTTTTTGTTTGATATTTATTGTAATGTTTTTTTAGTGATATCTACGCTCATATTAAATAGGCCTATGCTTTTCTTAGGTCAAATCACGATACATAAACCTAGAATTCGAATATGTAAAAATGTATTAAAATACGTCATAACGCTAATAAAAACGCCCAGACCCAACCGGGGCCGCAGTGGGCCCCGGCCATCAGCGTCTGGGTGACCAAAACGGCACCTTCGGTATTCCACTGTTCTGAGTGTTTATTGCACATTTTGTTCATACAAGAGTCCCTTTTAATGTCGTAATCCACTGGCACAAAAAGTTTTATGCAGTCCGTCCAATAGTGCGAATGGGCAGTAAAGAACTTCGTAGTTAATTATTGATTGCCCATGTGTGTGAAAATAAAACAAAAAACAAACGCCTACACAAGCGGAACTTGTTTGCCTTTTTTGGGGCGGCCGCAAACCCCCCCCCCCCCACCTCATCTCCCACCGTAGCCCGTAGGCCTATATGGGCCACGAGCTCGGTTATATGACATTTCTAGTTCTACTAACTATCTAGACTTAATCAGTGACAATTCTGGTGGCCCACTGGGCATATTGAGAATAGTGATGGGGTGGGGACCAATAGTATGGCACTGATTCTAGAATAATTTCCAATCAGCCCTTTGCATTAATTTGATTCGCATCACTGGTCACACTGGTACCAACTAGGCAGCGTGACCACTGCTTGGGTATTTACCCAATATCTTGGGTATTTTGACTTGGTCTTGGGTTCTTGGGTATTCCGTTCAAATGCTTGGGTATTTTATTTTTACTAAGAAAATTAAATATTTTTGTCATAGAGGAAGAATTGAGAAGTATATTTCAGTCCATTCAAGTAAGCAAAACTCAACGAAGTGCACTTAACATTGTTAATTGACTGTTGATAAACATGGGTTCAGAAGTGTTTATTTGTGATTTGCGTTATAGAACTTACCTAAATTAATGCATTACATAATAACACTTGATCACACTGATCTATCTACTGATAACACTGGCCGACTGAGGGCGTATTTTTCTATCCGTATTATCACCTCATGAATATTAATTTTAATAATTAACACAAACAATTACAATAAAAAAATGGTTTATAAATTGAACTAAAAGGGAAACTATACATACGAAAAACACGTATTTTTCAAATTTTAATGCATTTTCAGGGAGCTTGGGTAATTTAGAGCAATTTTTGCTGAATCTTGGGGTAATTTCGACCCAGTCATTGGGTATATCAAAAATTGCAAGTGGACTAGGCACTTGGTACCCATTCCCTCTCTCAGCACAGACGCAGCGAGGAAAATAAGAACACGTCGCGATGCTTTATATATTTTTAATTGTCTGTTTAATTGGTAAGTCAACCAGATGTCAGGATAGGCAGGGAGGGTTGTCTATCTAATTTAAGTTGTGTCCGTATTCTACCTTGGTCTAGGTGTAGGTAAACTACAGTACTAGTTAGGCCACGCCTATCTAGGCTAGGCCTAGGCCTATCTTCCTAGGCCGCTGTTCCTTGACCTTGGCGTTGGTTTGGCTTTAGTTACTGTAGTTCTATTACTGTTGGGGCGGGGCAGCTAAAGCGCTCTGTCTCTTATACACATCTAGATGTGTATAAGAGACAGGCCTTACCCTGTGTATGCAGCATAAGCAAGAGCATACAGTGATGCAACCACTTGTAGGCTGACACAAAACTGGCAGGCTGAATTATTTCCCAAATCTTTAAAGTATATCACAGTAGTATTGTACCAATTTGCTTCTGCATAGAGGATGCAGTTCCCACCAAAACTATTCTGTGAAACCAAAAACAAAACCAGATATTTAGTGGTTATTTTTGTGCAATATGATTTTTGAAAATCGCAGCTAGCATCAGGAAAAAATAAGGAATGCATTGGAGCAAATATGGATAAGGGATATGGAAAAATGACATGTATTTTTTACAAGTTTCACAATTTGGAACAAAAAATGGTGTTTACCAACAACTTTGACATTATAATAATATATTTATTGATGGTAACTTTGCAACTTGGTATGGTACAATTTCCATAGGAATTTATGAACAAAGATGGAGCAGTAGTATCAACAACCATTTCCCGATTACCAGATACGATTAGTGCTTCCAATATTAAAGAAATGTTTGGAAATGTGATGAAATAAAAAAAAAATAAAGATGCAAGTTCCATGCCAAACCAGCATTCAAATTGTAGTATGGGAATACGCCCTCATCGCTAACCAGGGATTGAATCCTGTGAATAAATAATTATAAATAGTAATACAGTAATAACTTGTTCAAAGCGCTTTAAAAATAGACAAATAAAACCAGTATAGGCCTACATTGGAAATAATTATAAGAAAGCTGTAAAGGCTACATTTAACAATCTAATTATAGTAGCATTTAAAAGGAAGCAAATTAACAAACAGAGCCTCCAATAAAAAAGAGCAACAATCAATCAAGCATTAAAATCTAGGAATAAATTTATACTGTATTGCAAAAACCAATAAAGAATAAAACAATAAGATTCACAGGAAACAAGATCAAATTCAATTAAAAAATCCCTAAAACAGTAAAAATATCAAACAATAAGAGGACAAATATGACACTGAAGAGTAGCTTTACAAAGTGAGGTTCAAGCACTCATGGACTGATTAGGAAGTGGCAAATGCCTTCAAACAGTAAGGGTGAAGTTATGCACTACAGGAAGAACAACCAGCAGTATACACATTTACGTGAATGATTGAATAATTCAGACACAAATTAATGTCAAACATAAAGACAAAAAGGAAAAGTCTTTTATTAGTATTATTTTGTTAAGCTAGAAATAATGGTTCTAAAATTGTAAATATATTTTCATATTAATATTTGATATGGATTACCAGTAATTTCTATGTTTGATACATGATACTTTTGATGTTTGCTTTGTGCAATTCTGGTTTTGAATTGTTTGTATGTATTGTCTTTTCAGTGCCTCTTCATTCAAGTCAATTGTGCCAGCAATTCTGAAACAACTGTTAAGACTCGAGTAACCATTGTGAAATTAAGTGAAAACAAAATAGAAAAATAAATAAAAGTTAGGCATCTAGGGGCCCATTCGGGTGAAAAAATATCTGTGCGATTTACCAGTTAATTCACCTGCACACTTTCTAAAACCGCTCCGACACTAGCCTAATCACCTTACCATTTAGATTATCCGCGACAATTTTGACCACCAATTTTCTTGGTAGAATACCATGTATGGAATGACCATGGAGCCGGAGGAGACGATAAATCAACCTTAATTGTTATTCCAAATGTTTTGTCAACAGTCCAGCACACAAAGTTCAACAGGTTTACGGCCCTCTCCTGGTTGCAGCTCTCCTTCACCTCCTCATGTGCACGACGATCAAAGTTATCATAGCGATGCATTCGATTTGCAGATTTACCATTATTCGGAGAAATAATCTTTAATAAACTAGCCTACGTACAGATTTTAAAGCAGCGTTGTTGAGTTCAAATATCGTTACTGCATGCCACACTGTGAGTACGTGGCAACGGTAGAAATTAAACTAAGAATTGGTTATTAACCATGGGATAAGTTGAAATTTACTTCCGAAGTAGTTTCGTTACACGTTATTTAACATGGGCTAAAACTTACTTAAACGGTCGACCACCCGTTAAAAGTGCTCAGCACGATTAAACGGTGACATAAACGGAATACGGTTGGCGTATTTCGCTAGAACGGGCCCTATGAGTCACATTCAATCAATGGTAAATTTATGTTCAGTTCCCATGCAATATATATTTCCAGGACAGCCAACATCAACTTGGGAATGAAAAGATATCATAATATTCATAAAATTTAAAAAGGCATTGCTAAGAAAATGTATATTTCCACATTTTCCGGAAAAAATTCATTGTTAAAACAGCCCTCAAGGAAACAGCAATGCATCGATAGTGACAAACTAATTGTTGTTGGAGGCCACTCCCTGCGAAACATGTGACCGACTCGACGAGTCGTAGGCCAAATCAAACCTAGGCCTACCCCTGATAAACTTCAGCCAGAGGTCTCTGTACTACTACTCTAGCAAGGTTAGGCCTAGGTACTAGTACTCACTCTAAGTTTTCGAAGACCTAGCCTAGACTAAATCAAACTACGTTTAAGAATTACATGTAAGTAGATAATGACATGGACTGCTTACTCTTGAAAGACCTATTGTTATGGCAGCTGCAAAACCTGCCAATCCTGCTCCAGCTAAAAGAACTGCTTGGACAAATAATAAAATAGTATCCATTTTTAACAGATACCTCCGTCAGTCACAGATTTCTGTATTCAGGAAAATCGCAAGGCAGTCCCAAAAAGTGCGAACAACCATGAGTGCGCACAACCTGCGTTGTCTGTCTGACCAAGGTAAATTACCTTGGTCTGACGCTCAGGCTCATTATTTCCTGCTGCTTCTTCGCGCCAGCAGACAACCAGATAAAACCTTCACGTGGAAAAGAATAAAAAAGTGCACGTTTATTGAAAGAAATTAATTGCGACATTAACAGCCCCTTCTAAATCCGCCCCTGATAATAATAATAATAATAATAATAATAATAATAATAATAATAATAATAATATTAATAATAATAATAATAATAATAATAATAATAATAATAAAAACAATAGTTTGATTGGTTAATTTTAAGTCATCAGATTCTATTTGTAGTTTCTTTTTCTGGCTTCTGAGAATGTTTGTATAAACAGACAAAATTCATGTCAAAAAGCTTCATTCGTAATTGTTGTTGTTCTTTCCACTCGCTTTGAAAAGTGTGATTTTAATTATAGAAAAATTGTGAAAAGTGTGCGGGGGGGGGGGGGAACGAAAGAGGTGATTATTTTCATTTGTTGGTATAAAATCGATATGTACTCAAATAAACGACCCACTGGACATGTAGCCTGTAGGCCTAGAGCACCGAGCAGGGGCGTAGGGTGGTGCCATCTCGAGATGCGAAATTTGTAAATACGGAGCTACAAGGATCAGTGTCGTAACGAAGGAGCCGAAGGCCCCGAGCCAGGAGCTGGGGGCCCGGAAGGGCTGCGAAAGGCCCCAGGTGTGGCGCCAGCGGGGGCCGGGAGGCAGGGCCCCACTCCGTCGGGAAGAGCTCCCCCCCCCCCATATCGTGGAGAAAAAGCACAATTCGTCGGGGACAAAAAAAAAATTATATGTATTTTCTACATTAGTAGACTCAGATCTAAAATCGATTAAAATAAGCATTTTAAAACCCCTAAATTGTCAAAATTTTCGGGGCTTCGCGCCCAGGACCACTTTTGGAGCCTTAATCGAAGCTCGACCACGCCCACTTTGCTTTCGTCGGGGAAATCTGACTCCCCGTCGGGGACCTCGGCTCCCCCACCCGTCGGGCAAATCATGGCGCCACCCCTGAAAGGCCCCAGTGGGAGTCTGTAGGGGTGGGGAGGGGAAGGCTCCAGCTGCAGCCACTTCGGTGTTGGGTGTAGCGTTTTGTGAGTATTTTAATGTCTTTTTTTGCACAATTAGGCCTGCGTTCTTAATTTTGTATCGTGATTTGACGAAATAAGCATAGGCCTATATATTGTAATTGAGATAATACTTTGTTGATCTGTAACTTAACAAGGGTCCAAGATGGAAGAAGTCATTTCCAGGAGATCGTGGCTGGTCCAGAAATTCGGAATTGGGGTGGGGGGGCAGGGAGGCACTTCACAGATTCAAGGGTATAGGCCTACCACCTCAGCCCCACCGTGGTTGGGGCTGAGTATGATCATAAAGGGAAAAAAATGTCTCTATGGTATGATTATGGTGCCTCTATTGCAGCATAGAGTTCTATTTTCTCTATGATTGCAGGTAATGACACTCTCAGATATGCCTAATTTTAGAACTGAATGTAGGCCTAATATTTTCCCTTTTCCCCATTTTTTTTATAGTACTTTGGAAAAAGTTAGGACCTCCTTTAAACCCTCCACTGATCTGCAGTGGTTATGACTTTGTTAACAAATTTAGTTTTGTATATTACTGCACACAGTGATACGGTACTCATCGGCACTGACTGCCATGGAAAAATTGATAATAAAATACTGAAAACATGCAAATACTATGAATTTGAGGGAGATTTTTGCTTGTTTGCGCGATTGCGGAAGTCGTCCGGATTTCCGGAAGACTCCGCGTGTTCTGGGAAGACTTGGGACCCCTGACTTAATTTCTAGCTGAGTAAATTTAAGTGATGATATTTGATGTTAATTAGTATATTATAATAATAAGAACGATAACGTTTATATTGCAGTGGGGTAACGGCTGAGCTGTCACTGCCTAAGGCCATGGGTCCAGAGTCTCAACAAGGGGCCGGGCCCAGCAAATTCAAATATTGTTTTTAACAAACAAATAACCAAGGCCCTTTTAAAAGCCGAAGTCGAGTGATTAGGACATTTTTTACTATCTCCAGTCTATATATCGATAAAAACATTAAACTTTATATTTAAAAAAAAACCAACAAAAACAAAACAAAAAGACGATCGACAACCACGTGAAACAAGAAATTAACCATGAGCAAAAGCATTGACACATGAGTATGCATGATACATATATGTTTTGTCTGATAGGGCCTATATTTATTGATTTTAATTGGCTCGTTTTGTTTGATATTTATTGTAATGTTTTTTTAGTGATATCTACGCTCAAATTAAATAGGCCTATGCTTTTCTTAGGTCAAATCACGATACATAAACTTAGAATTGCAATTCGAATGTGTAAAAATGTATTAAAATACGTCATAACGCTAATAAAAACGCCCAGACTCAACCGGGGCCGCAGTGGGCCCCGGCCATCAGCGTCTGGGTGACCAAAACGGCCCCTGCCCAGGGGCCTCCGGCACCTTCGGTATTCCACTGTTCTGAGTGTTTATTGCACATTTTGTTCATACAAGAGTCCCTTTTAATGTCGCAATCCACTGGCACAAAAAGTTTTATGCAGTCCGTCCAATAGTGCGAATGGGCAGTAAAGAACTTCGTAGTTAATTATTGATTGCCCATGTGTGTGAAAATAAAACAAAAACCAAACTCCTACACAAGCGGAACTTGTTTGCCTTTTTTGGGGCGGCCGCACCCCCCCCCCAACCTCATCTCCCACCGTAGCCCGTAGGCCTATATGGGCCACGAACTCGGTTATATGACATTTCTAGTTCTACTAACTATCTAGACTTAATCAGTGACAATTCTGGTGGCCCACTGGGCATATTGAGAATAGTGATGGGGTGGGGGACCAATAACATGGCATATTCTAGAATAATTTCCAATCAGCCCTTTGCATTAATTTGATTCGCATCACTGGTCACACTGGTACCAACTGGGCAGCGTGACCACTGCTTGGGTATTTACCCAATATCTTGGGTATTTTGACTTGGTCTTGGGTATTCCGTTCAAATCCTTGGGTATTTTATTTTTACTAAGAAAATTAAATATTTTTGTCATAGAGGAAGAATTAAGAAGTATAATTCAGTCCATTCAAGTAGGCAAAACTCAACTAAGTGCACTTAACATTGTTAATTGACTGTTGATTGCTATAAACATGGGTTCAGAAGTGTTTATTTGTGATTTGCGTTGCCATAGAACTTACCTAAATTAATGCATTACATAATAAAACTTGATCACTGATCTATCTACTGATAACACTGGCCGACTGAGGGCGTATTTTTCTATCCGTATTATCACCTCATGAATATTAATTTTAATAATTAACACAAACAATTACAATAAAAAAATTGTTTATAAATTGAACTAAAAGGGAAACTATACATGCGAAAAACACGTATTTTTCAAATTTTAATGCATTTTCAGGGAGCTTGGGTAATTTTGAGCAATTTTTGCTGAATCTTTGGTAATTTCGACCCAGTCATTGGGTATATCAAAAATTGCAAGTGGACTGGGCACTGGGTAACCATTCCCTCTCTCAGCACAGACGCAGCGAGGAAAATAAGAACACGTCGCGATGCTTTATATATTTTTAATTGTCTGTTTAATTGGTAAGTCAACCAGATGTCAGGATAGGCAGGGAGGGTTGTCTATCTAATTTAAGTTGTGTCCGTATTCTACCTTGGTCTAGGTGTAGGTAAACTACAGTACTAGTTAGGCCACGCCTATCTAGGCCTGTCTCTTATACACATCTAGATGTGTATAAGAGACAGCAGTGATACGGTACTCATCGGCACTGACTGCCATGGAAAAATTGATAATAAAATACTGAAAACATGCAAATACTATGAATTTGAGGGAGATTTTTGCTTGTTTGCGCGATTGCGGAAGTCGTCCGGATTTCCGGAAGACTCCGCGTGTTCTGGGAAGACTTGGGACCCCTGACTTAATTTCTAGCTGAGTAAATTTAAGTGATGATATTTGATGTTAATTAGTAAGGTAATTATTACAAAAAAAATAAATAAAATATTTACTATAAATTATATTATAATAATAAGAGCGATAACGTTTATATTGCAGTGGGGTAACGGCTGAGCTGTCACTGCCTAAGGACATGGGTCCCGAGCTGTCTCTTATACACATCTAGATGTGTATAAGAGACAGAAAAATATCTGTGCGATTTACCAGTTAATTCACCGGTACACACTTTCTAAAAGCACTCGGACACTAGCCTAATTACCTTACCATCTGGATTATCCATGACAATTCTGACCACCGAATTGCTGGGTAGAATACCGTGAATGGAACGTCCATGGATACGGAGGCAACAATTTTTTTCCCAAATCATTTGTCCACAGTCCAGCGAGCGAAAATTCAATAGGGTTACAGATCCTTCAGCATAACATCACATCATTGGGACCATAAAGGTGGCTAATAGCATTATTTGGAGAAATAATGTTGAATAAACTAGCCCAGGTACAAATTTTAAAGCAGCGTTTATAAGTTGAGCTCAACTTTAGTTTTCACATGCCGCGTTGTGCCTACGTGGGCCCGTTATAGCCGCAGTAGAAAGTAAACAAAGAATGGGTTGT